ATTGAAGGCTCAGTTCCCAGTACAAGCAGTGTTCAGAGGTGAGATTTTTGGGATGTGACTGGATCAGGAGGGGTCTGTCTTCATTAATGAATGAATCCACTGATGGATTAAAAAATCTGAATAGACTATGGGAGATGGTGGAACTGTATACAGCGGGGGTCTGAATGAAAGAGGCCAGTCACTGGGTCACTGGAGGGGCCTTATGGCTGCATCTTACCCTGGCCACTTCCTGACACTGCTCCATTCTGCCTCCTGGCTGCCTCGAGATGAACAGTTTTCCTCCACCACCCATTCTTCCATGTATAGAGTTGCTCCCACGAGATAGAAAGCCACAGAAACCATGAGGCAAAGCATCTCCTCCTTCAAGTGTTTCCCTCAGGTTCTTGTCACAGGGTAAAGAGCTGTCACAGACCTGCTGTGGATGTGAGTAGTTTTAAATACTTAGCATGTGTGTGCATGTACACACACACACACACACACACACACACACACACAAACTCACACCATTCCTTAATCTCTTCTAGAATACCCATGTCTGCTTTTGGCTTACCTGTGGCTGCGTCAGGATTGGTTGGTTGAGACTTGAGCCGTGGCCTCAAGCTGCTCTTGGAAACGTCTGAGTAGTACGGTTCAATCAGAGAACAGAAAGGATGTGGATGTGGAGGGGTGTAGGGACTGCGACACCAAGGGCTGGAGTTGGAGAAAATGGTTGGCGGGATTTCCATTTCCCTGTAGGAAAAAGACCAACTTGAATCCTAAAGGCACTTTATGTGGTGACATTAATATTCAAATAGAAAGCCAGTTTCAAAAACCAACAGAGAACAGCTTTGCTAGACCTTACAGGCAGTGCATTCTCATAGTTCTTTGTCAACTTGACCCAAATCTAGACATACCTGGGGAGGAAGAATGTCACATGAGGAATTTCTGCCGCCAGATTGGGCTAGGGCCATGTCTGTCAGGCACTGTCATCTTTGCTAACTGATGTGGGAGGGAGGGTCCAGCCCACTGTGGTTGGTGCCATCCCTAGGCTGGTCATCCTGGGCTATATAAGAAATGTAGCTGAGCAGGCCAGAGGGTGCAAGCCAGTGAGCATGTTCCTCCACAGTCTCCTGCCTCGAGCTCCTGCCCTGGTTTCCCTTGATGATGGACTGTGACTATAAGATGAAATAAACCCTTTCCTTCCACATGTTGATTCTGGTGTCTTATCACAGCAACCGAATAACAAACTAGGCCAGCATTTATCATAGCAAAGCATTTGCCTACAAATGAGCTTAATTCTGCATGCCTGTCCCCAGCTAGCTGATGACAGTATGCATCTGTCATCACCTGAACACAGCTAAGGATGTGGCAAAAATGTCACCTATTTACCTCTCTGAAACAGCCTTGCCTCAAACAGTGCTAAGGAAAAGTGAAGGAGCCCAGAGCATCTCATGATTCCATATCACAGATGCCAGCACAGCCTGTAGGCTCATATCTGCTGAGTCTATGGCACATGCTTTTTATATGGGAGCCATGGTTATGGATTATGTGTCATACACCTGCCACCCACTCATTCCCACATGCTCAGTTACTGAGGATGCGTGCGGAGACAGCGGGTCCTCAACCACCAAGCAAAACAAAGCATCCTTTACTTTGTGAGTGAAGGCTGGACCACTTCTATCTGACACTTAGGGGACTCTTTCTTTGGCAGACCTTGTCCTTCTCTACTTATGGAAGTCACAGATGTCGTCCACCAAAACATATGGCTTTGTAGTGATGGGACGGTGACTGAACATCTCTCGAATTCAATGTCAGCCTCTAACTTCTCCCAAGTTTGTTCCAGTGAATCGGAATATACCAGGTGATAGGCTAAGGACATGAAAACGATTCCCAGTATAAAATACCTACCAAGTTGTATGTCTTACTGTCATAGGCTTATTGAAATATAATGCATTTATTTTTGGTCTGAGTTTTATTTGGGTTTTTTGAGACCGGCTCTCACTCTGCAGTTCAGACTGGTCTGGAACTCACTGTGTTGCCCAGGATGTTCTTGAACTAACTCATGGTGAGCTCTTGGTTCCACCTCCAGAATCCTGAGATTAAAGGTATGAGCCACCACATCTGGCTTAAGCAGAGGCAGGTGGATGTCTGTGAGTTCAAGGCCAGCCTGGTCTAGATAGTGAGTTCCAGGCCAGCTGGGGCTACAGGGAAGGCCCTGTCTCAAACAAACTATTATTTTTTATGTTTCCAACATAATGGTAATTAATATACATCCATATATATATGTATATATATATAAATACAAAATCATGATGAAGAAAATATCATTTCACACAGTTACTTTTTCTGTCATAAGAACAACTAAAATTAACTTTAGAAAATCCTGTATTCAATGCCATTTGCATCATTGAAGTTCTCACCGATGCCCATTCAATCTCTAGACTTATTTCTCCTATACATCTCCTTTGGGTATATGCCCAAAAAGAGCCACTTCTAGGTCATATACTAATTCTGCCATGAATTTCTTTCAAACAGCTCTTCCACAGGCTCCTACTACACAGGAGGGCTCTGTTCCATGTCTAGATTTTAAATGGAAAGTAAGGGACAGGGACACTGCCAGGCGTTGAACATGTAGAAGCTGAAGGCCACAAATCCTACACATCATTGTGACTGATGGACAGCATCTCGTCCTGTTTCAAAGTCCACAGACTCACAGTGTTTTAGCAATTATAATATACAATCTCACATTTTACCGAGGAGGAATTATGACAACAGTTACCTACAGAACCGATGCAGGCCAAGCCCTAAATCCCTTTGTATCTCACCACAAAAACCTGCAGCTGTATTGACTATCAACTAGGATGATGTTAGGAACAAGATGGTTCAAGGGTAATCTAAGTCATTCTTTATATTTATGTTTCTTTTAAAAAGGATCCGTAATGTAATGTGCGCTTTGCTTCTTTGTAGAACAGAAGTACTACTGAGATCTGGGGAGAGCATTGTTGATCATTTTGCTGTGCTGGGCAGAGAAGGGCTGGCCGTGATTTCTCCCCAAGATACGCACTGTCTTTTACACACAAATGGAGCATCTAGCTGGATCCTGCTGAAATCTTGCGTCTGTCTGTTTCACCCAGCATGTCAAGAGGAGTGGGATTTTCAAGGAACATCTTTCTTGAAATTGCAGAGTGTGTGGTCTAGTTTAACTGAAAAGGGAATCAAGGTGAATTCCACTTTTTTTTTTTTAAGAACTGTATTTTAAGCTGACATCACTTTTCATCTTAACAGAAATATCTTCTAGTTGAATGAAATAATGCTTATGGCTTGAACATAGTTGGGTTCTTCCAATGGGATGTGACCCAAGGGCTGGTGGTGGGTGGGAAGTTTGAGATGAGGTTTGAATAGGTAGCAGTTAATGGTATGGCTTGAGCCTGAAATATTACCCAGACACGTGGTTTGAACACTTGGTCACCATTTGATGGTGTTATTTGAGAGGTTGTTGAAACTTTCACAAGTGTTACCTGGCTGTAGAAAATAGGAATATGTTTCTTGGGCTATCTCAGTGCCCTCCTGAAAGTTCTCTCTGCTTCCTGTTCCCCGTGATGCAAGCAGTTCTCATCACAGGATTCTGCTGCCATGACTTTTTTGGCCAAGTGCATGGGGCCAAGCAACTTTGGACTTAAATCCTCTGAAATTGTGAACCTAACTTAGGCAGTTCCAATATGTAAAGTGGGAGGCAGAAACAAGAACATGTGGTTTGAAGGGGCAGTTATATGACAGGCATTAATGGCGGTAAGGAAGGATTTATTGTGCCTCATGGTTTCAGGGGATTTTAGTTCATTACAGAAGGGAAGACATGATGGAGTGGCTCCATGGTGGCAGCGAGTATGCCTAGGAGACATGACAGGGAGGAGCCAGCCACCGTGTGCCCCAAGGACCTAGCCCCAGTGACCCCACTCCTCCAGTGGGACTCCACTTCATAAAGGCTCACAACTTCCCAAACAGCACCAGCAGCTGGGAGATGGGTGTTCACAACATGAGCCTGCAGGGATGGAGGGCATTTTACCATCCCACCTTCACAGTCCTCATCTGAGTTCTTCTGATGATGTCTCAGGAAACTAAGTAACTCAGATTACTTATTCTTATTTTTCCAGCCAGTGAAAACTATCAGAAGTCTTATAAAATTCAGGTTGGTCCAATAAAGACATGGAAAGCTGAGGGCAGGCTACTTGATTACACCCCGGGCAGGTCCTCCCTGCCAAATGACAGAGATGGTCAGAGAAAGGCATCAAATAGCACTTAATAAGTTATTCCAGCCATGAGGCTAGAGAGATGGCTAAGCAGGTAAGCCTGCCTGCCGTTCTTCATGAGGACATGAGTTCAGTTCCCAGGACTTACATCAAGCAGCTCACAACAACCTGTAAGTCCTGCTCCAGGGGATCTTTGCAGGCACCTGCACACATGTGACACCAACTCTCTCCCTCTCTCTCTCTGAAAATATCCCAGCCTGTTCTACAGAAAGAGTCACCCCACACCTCTATAAAAGAGAAAGAAGGGATTGTGGATTTAGCTCATTAGCAGAGCACTTGCCTAGCAAGCGCAAGGCCCTGGGTTCAGTCCTCAGCTCCAGGAAAAAAGAGGAAAGAGAGAGAGAGAGAGAGAGAGAGAGAGAGAGAGAGAGAGAGATTCCCTCTCTGTTGAGCTTTCCCACAGCTTTCTGATGCTTGGCTTTGATGTTCCTAGTAGGCTGCAGCATTGTCCTTGTTTGGGGAACTTGGCAAGGGTGGAAATGATGGCTCTTCCAAGGACATGTGGGCCATAGCACTGTCCCGGGGGGCTTCGTACAGGAAAAATGAGTGGAGGTACGTCTTTTGATACTGAGCATTTTCTCAGCACAGGCTTCTTGACCTTCAAAGAGGGCTTTGGCTTTGATTTTTGCAGGGGAGAGGCATGGAGTCAGGAGTTTCCTTCTTTACTTTCAACACCACCTTCACGGAAAGGATCTACGGGAAATCAAGTCTTTGTATTAAATTCCCAGTGCTTAGTTTGGCCTAAAGATTAGATAAGAATTTCAGCAAATATTTTGGGATGCACAGGCGACCAGAGAAGGCTGTGTTGTGTGCAGGGCTTTCCTTACCCTGTGCTTCCAGATAGCTTCAGAAATAAAACCTGAGCAATGCACGATGGTGCAAGCTTTTAATCCTAGCACTCAGGAGGCGGAGGTAGGTGGATCTCTGTGAGATGGAGGGCAGCCTGGTCTACAGAGTGAGTTCCAGGTAAACTTGGGCTAGAGGGAGACCCTGTCTCCTCAAACCCCCAAAGAATAAAAAAAAACAAACCTCTGCCCTTGATTCTGAGATCTGCAGTAACATTCAGACATAGGGCATGACAATTCCTGTTGGCCAGTGGCTAGCACACCGAGCGAGTGCTATTGTTTTAGCTGGAATTGTGGTGTCCAGATAGCCAAAGTTTTCAGAAGAGAACACTAGCCAAGAGAGCTGATAGAAGATGAGGCAAAGAGGTGGGCCGGCAGCTCCATTTACAGTTGTTGAGGACCAGATATGTACCTTGCTGTTCGGTTTGCATAGGATGCTTGTCCAGTCTGGACTCCACCAGAATCTGCTTTGCTCTTCCCAAACGAAGTCTGTTGGTAGCTGTGGCTTCGCATCTGAGGCTGCAGCCCACACCTTTGTAAAAGCAGCTGTTGTTGGCAAACACCATTGGGGGGTCAACATAGATTTATAAACATCATAGCGTTATTGAGATTCATCTTTCCAAACAGACAGGGGTTCAGTGCCATTAAAGAGGGGTGGGGAGGATCTCACTCTATTTACCTGGGCTGGGCTTGAATTCTTGGGCTCAAGTGATCCTTCTGCCTCTGTCTCCTGAGTACCTGTCACTATAAAGGTATGTGTGCTCCTAAGCCTGGCTTCAGATGACATTTTAAACTATACTGTCACATCAAACAGGGACTGAACATGGTTTAAACAGCTATCCGACCCAGTCTGTGGGCTGCAGGTGATTGAGGATAGCTTTGGCTACAGCCAACTCCAAATCATAAACTACTTAAAACATGATAGTTTTTAAAAACTTGATTACATTGTTCTCGAATGTGAACTTTGTAGATGATAAACTCTTGTATTAACATTACCCAAAATAAATGCATGTTTGAGGCTGGAGAGATGCCTCAGTGGTTAAGAGCACTGGCTGCTCTTGCAGAGGACCTGGGTTCAGTTCCCAGCACCCACAAAGTGGTCAAGAGCTGTCTGGAGCTCCACTTCCAGGTATCTGACACCCTCTTCTGGCCTCTGCAGGCATTGCAAGACAGGTGCACTTACACACATGTAGGCAATATACTCATACACATAAAATAGAAATAACATCAAAAAATAAATGTTTATTTGCTCTCTCAACCTCTAGCCATGGATTGGACACTGCTGGTTGAAAGGGGAACACAAGAGAACAGAGCATCCACTTGGTACCTGTTTTCTGAGCAAAACAATCCTTTGTGTTTTAAGAATGTTTTCTTACAGCTGGTTATGGTAGTGCAGGCCTTTAATCCCAGCACTTGGGAGGCAGAGGCAGGCAGATATTTGGGAGTTTGAGGCCAGTCTGGTCTACACAGAGAGTTTTAGGACAGCTGGGGCTACAGGAAACCATCTCAAAAAACAAGAGGGGAAAAAAAGAATGTTTTATTAGTTTATAATAGATGGACGATAAAGCAAAATACATTGCATACTAAACTGAAGGTGGGGAGATTCAAGTGTGGATTCAGATTTACACCCACACCATGAAGCAGCATGACTCACACTTAGTGGGGAGATCGGGTGGCCACAAGAGTACTTATGTGAAGCCACAGCCAGGGAGGGGAGCTTTTCCTCTGCGAACTCAGCTCCTGGTATTCCCAGTTCACCTTCTTCCAAGCTCCTGGTATCCCCAGACCACAGGATTCTCAGCTCACTTTATCCTCCCAGCTCAAAGTATTCCTGACTCACTGTATTCCCAGCTCAAGGTTCCAGTTCATGGCATCCCCATCTCCTCAATATCTCGGCTGATGTGAGGTATTCTCAACTCACCGTATTCTGGAGTTATTCACGAAATGCAGACTTCCTGGTGCATGGTATTCCCAACTCACCTTATTCTCAAGTCACGATGTTCCCAGCTCATGATATTCCCCTGTCGCAGTATTCTGAGGTCCTGGTATTCCGAGCTGCTGGTATTCTCCTGTCACCTAATTCTCCACTCATGATGCTCTCAGGTCAAGGTAATCATGGCTCATAGAATTCCCAACTCACCTTATTCTGTTTATGATGTTCCTAGTTCAAGGTACTCCCAGCTCCTGGTATTCCCATGATCCAGGATTCTGAAATCTGGTGTTCCCAGTGCATGATATTCCTAATTCATGGCATCCCTACTTCTAAACAATCTCAGCTCCTGGTATTCCTACCTCATGAGATTCCTAGCTCAAGGCATTCACAGCTCATGGTATTACTAGCACATGTCATTCACAACACATGGTATTCCCAACCCACCTTGTTCTCTGCTCAGGATACTCTTAACTCCTGGTTATTTCCAGCTCCAGGTATTCCAAGCTCCACGTATTCCCAATTCCAGTGTTCTCAGCTCCTGGTGTTCCCATCTTATGTATTCCCAGCTCATGACATTCCCAGGTCACAGCATTCCCAGCTCACAGCTTTCCCAGCTCACGGCTTTCCCAGCTCACGATGTTCCCAGGTCACTGCATTTCTGACTCTCCTTATCCACATCTCACAGCACTCAGATACAACGGTATTCCAGCTCACAGGCTTCCCAGCTCCTGGTCCACATATCACCTAATTACCTGCTCACGATGCTCCAGGCCAAGATAATCAGAGGCATGAATTCCCAAGTCACCTTATTCACAGCTCATTGTATTCCTGGCTCTGGGAGTTTCCAGCTCCTGCTGCGTCCAACTCCTCATGCACCCAGCTCCTGGTAGTCTCATCTCCCACTATTCCCAGCTCAGGGCATTCTGATCTCTTTGTATTCAAAACTCACAGTATTCCTAGCTCTGGACATCTCAGCTGATGTTAAGTATTCTCAGCTCACCATGTTCCCAACCCATGCTATTCCTAACTCGCCTTATTTATAGTTCATGACATTCCTATATCGTGATTTTCCTGATCCCAGTATTCCTAGATCATGGCATTCCCAGCTCCCAATATGTCCAGCTCACATTCCCAGGTCCTGGTATTTCCAGCTCTGATGCTGCCAGTCCTGGTTTTCCCATGTCCTGCTATTCCCATCTCGCAATATTCCTGCATTTTGGTATTCTACTCTCCTGGTATTCCCAGCTCATGATACCCCCAGCTCCAGGTATTTATTCCCAACCCACCTTACTCTCAACTCACGATGTTCCCAGCTCCTGGTATTCTGAACTCCTGGCATTCCCACCTCTCTGTATTCTAACCTCACAGCATTCCCAGCTCCCAGATATCTCAGCTGATGCTAAGTATTCCCAGCTCACCTTATTCTCAGCTCAGGGTGTTCCCAGTGCCAGCGTAGGGTGTTCCCAGCTGGCCATATTACCAACTCTCCTTATCTGCAACTCATGATAGTCTCAGTTCATGCTATTCCTGCTCCTGGCATTCCTGGATCCCAGTATTCTGAACTGGAATACCAGTTCACGATATTCCCTGCTCACAGCATTTCCAGCTCACTATATTCCCAGTTCCTGGTATTCTGAGCTCTTGTTATTCACAGCTCAAAGTATCCCTGAGCTCTGGTATTCAAAGTTTAAAATATTCATAGCTCATGGCATTCCCAGCTCTTGGTATTTCCAGCTCACAATATTCCCAGATCCTGGTTATCCCATCCCAAGGTATTCCCAGCTCATAATATACCCAGCTCATTGTATTTTCTCATGGTATTCCCAACTCACTATATTATCAACTCATAATGTTCTAATCTCATGATATTCCTAGCTCCTGGTATTCCCTGATCGAATCATTCCCAGGTGTGCTGAACTCCTGGCATTCCCATCACTTGCTAGTCTAAGCTCACGGTATTCCCAGCTTCTGGTTATCTCTAGCTGATGTTAAGTATTCCCACCTCCCCTTATTCTTAGCTCACCTGTTCCCAGATCAGAGTATTCCCGACTCACCTTAAGTGCAGCTTGTGTTGTTTCTACCTCACGGAATTCCCAGCTCATGATATTCCTGTTCTTGGTATGCCCAGATCCCAGTATTCTGAGCTCCTAGTGTCTTCAGCTCCTGGGTGTTTGAGCTCAGAGTATCTCCAGCTCCTGCTACACCCAGCTAATGGCATTCCCAGCTCATCACAATCCTAGAACATGGCATTCCAGCTCTCAGTATTCAGAGCTCCTGGTGTTCCCAGCTCATGGCAATCCTAGAACATAGCATTTCCAGCTCTAAGTATTCAGAGCTCCTGGTATTACCAAGTCAAGCTTCTTATGACTCGTGGTATTCTCAGATCCTAGTATTCCTACCTCCTGTTATTTCCAACTTTTGATAATCCTATCTCATGACACTCCTAGCTCCCAGTATTCCCAGCTCCTGGTAATCCTATCTCTTAGTATTCTAAGCTCATGACATTCCTAGCTCATGCTGCTTCCAGATAATAATGTTCCCTGCACACGGTGTTCTCAGTGCATGGAATTCCCAACTCACCTTAGTCTCAGGAAATTCTCTGCTCAAGGTATTTCCATCTCATTATTCTCTCTGATGCTGTCATTTCCAGCTCACGATGTTTCTAGCTCCTGGTATTCCCAGCTCCTCCTATTCATAGCTGCTGGTATTTTCAAAGTATTCCCAGCTCATAACATTCCCAGATCATGACATTCCCAGTTCATGGTTTTTCCCAGGTCTGATTCCTGGTTCATAATATTCCCAGCTCACTGGGTTCTCAGCTCATGGCATTTCCAGCTCACGCTGTTCCCAGTCATGTCATTCCCAGCTCTGGTTTTCCCAGCTCACATTAGGGATTTCTAACACCTTATTCTCAGCTCACAATGTTCCCAGCCCACTGCATTTCCAACTCTTCTTATCCACATCTTACGGCACTCAGATCTAATGGTATCCCAGCTAACAGGCTTCTCAGCTCCTGGTCTGCATATCACCTATTTCTCTGCTCATGACACTCCAGGTCAAGATAATCACATCGATGAATTTCCAACTTGCGTTATTCACAGCTCATTGTGTAGGACCCTGAGACCCTCTTCATTCACCCGCTATCCCCCAATCCCTCCAGACCCCCACTAATTGCTCTTTTAGCTTCTGTAAAATGCTTGGCTGCTGCTTTAGACATGACTAGACATGCCCTAGCATGCCCTGACCCCCGCCTCCTATTCCCCCCCTCCCCCCACTTCCAGGAAACTATAGATTAAGCAAGCCCGGGCATGAAAACTGCCCTATAAGGTAAAAACAGAGACTCCTGGCCCCACAGATAAGAGTCAGCACATTCCACAGCTCTGAGAATAGCACCTACCAATAAGAAACTTCCAGGCTGCATCTTATACACATCCAATCAGTTTAAAATTATGTTGGTGCGCGTGGCCTCCTTGAACCAACCAAAATGTATCTTCGGTATCCCCCTACTCTCTTTGTCTAAAACCTATAAAAGGCTCCACTCCCTTACTCCGGGCTCTCAGCATGGAAACCAATTGAGTTTATGGTGGATACTGGTGCCC